CTTTCATTCAAACTAAACCCATAATCATATTCATGCCAATTCCAGGTAAGTGATTGCACAATTATTAACATTAACAGGTGAAAATTCACCCCAAAATGAGTACAGATAATTAGGTAATGACAATTGCAGGTAAGTACCACCACCCTTATCCAGCTCCTCCTCTCCATTTGAATACAACATTAGATTATTCAATTTTCTAAGCAATCTCGGAATCACTTGTCGTGAGTGCACACACATTGGTGGGTCTTGCCACATGAAGAAACCATACCCAGCATTCTACAGAAAATGGAGCATTCAAATTATTGTGAAGTTATAGACAGTGTAAGAAAAATACTAATGAGATAAAATATGAACCAACCATGCTATTTGGACATGTCAAGAACCTCTGACCTGGGTTTTGATCCGTCCATGATGTCTTTTTTGCTACAATCTTCCCACAGTTACAATACACCATGCTTTGTAGCTCTTTGTTTTCCCTTTCTTCTCGGTCAATTGAGTCCTTAATTGATGCTCTGTTTTTTCTTTATAGGCCACTGGAGTAGCAGACTCTTAAAAGTAATGGGCACATGCCAAGCAAGTGAAGCATTGGGAGGGAATTATGGTGCCAAATACTTTCTTTTCTTTCTAACTGCCCCTACATTTGTTACTTGCACAGCACGTTCAACAACGAAAAGGTGATAGACTAGACGGTTCTTCACATGAGGTCCACATGACTACTAACTTCATTTTATCTATATTTTTTCCATTAATTAATAAACTCACACTGTTTATATTTATTAATTAGAAATTAAATTCATTCAATTTTATTTTAACCTACTAAATAGGTAACGGCTAAAATTTTGCTTTGGTACGAAAATATTTCAAAAGTAAAATAAAAATTAATAATTATTTTTAAAATATTAGTCAAATCATGTTAAAATATCATCAAACACCTCAAAATATTTAAAAAATATTGATAAAAATATCTCAAAACACCTCGAAATAATATGGATCACCTTAAAACATTAAAATTTCGGTGCAATTACTATTTTTGTTTCAACTTTTTTGATATATATTTAATAATTTAATAGAATGAATATAAATATGGTAAAATTTAAGGTGCGTATAAATGGAGTACCTTAATAATTTGAAATAAAATAGGGTTAATTGCACTGTAGGTCCTCAAAGTATGGAGTTCGTCTTATTTTGGTCCTCAATGTTTCAATTGCATCATTTTTGTCCTTGAAGTATTAAACATGCTTCTATATGGTCCCTCAATCATACAACATCTAGATTGTTAACTAATTTTTATCATAAACTTGTCACGTAATATTTAAATATGGACAAAAAATAAATTTGATAAATATTAAACAAAATATGGGCAGCTCTTAACAAAAAAATGTATAATATGGGTAACTTTAAACCAAAATTTGGATAGTTCATGATCAAAATTGTGTAATTTGAGTAGCTATTTAACCAAAATTTAAGTAAAAATTTAATCAAGAGTTATCCAAATTATTTTTTTATCTATTTTTAAGAATCACATGACAAGTTTATGATAAAAAATATTAGCAATCTGGACGTTGTCTGTTTGAAGGACCATATAGAAACATCTATATAATAAAGTAGAGCTAAGTTTGAATTTTAGAGACAAAAAGAGGTCCAGATCGTTTTGAGACAAAATATAAACACATCCAACGGACAACATAATCCAAACATAAAAGACGATTCAGATCATCTCAAAAAATTTGATCTAACGATCTACAGTTGGTCCTAAATTTCTTTTCCTATCATTGAAGAAGCCTATCATCGTAAGACTTTACATTTTTATCTCTCATACGTCTTTATCTCTCTCATACAGATTCTTTCTCCTCAACCCATATTTAGCAATTCAAATCTTACTTCTCATCACAGGACTCTACGGTCTACACTCTTTTTATCCCTCATACGTTTGTTATCTCTCTTAGCATTTAGCTTTTTTCTTAGTGTTCCTATCTCCTAATATCTCTCTTCTCTCTTATCCTAGTTTCCCTTCTTCATCGTAAGTGCTGATTCTTTTTCCTCTTCCCATCTCTCTTCTCTTTTATTTTCCATCTCTTATAGTCATTGTCAGCGCCACCAATGGCAACTTGAACAAAACAACCACTGCTAACGCACACCACCCAAATTCGTCGACACAGCAACACCGATGCCATCACTGTTGATATCCCTTTTCTCTCCAAGTATCATCTCTCTCTCTCTCTATTGCAATTTTTATTTTAATCCCCAAAATTGCGTCTATACCTTCACAGAAATTTATATTTCCTAAATTAACGCCTCTCTATCTCCCCCAAATCTTCCAATTCTCGCCTTACCCGTAATCACCTCTCCCATATCTGCCTCCTCTCTCCCTACATGTCTAGCAAAAATTTATCTTTGCACTGCCCTTTCTATTCCTTCGTCTGACGCCTCTGTTCCTCTTCGCCGCTACTCCTACACCACCAACCAGGTATATATTTGTTTTTTCTCTCAGATTGTAAACGAGGAAAGTAAAGCTAAAGATCTGCAGTTCAAAACAATCCCTCTGGTCTATGGGGGCAGAACTTGAGTTTGATTGGTGATTTAAAAAGATTGATACAGTTGGAGTTTTGTGATGGAGAATGTGGTATGTGCTAGATTTTAATTTTAATTTAATAGTGCATGTTTCTTTGCAAATTTCATTTCATTGGTTGGAAATTTGTTTGAGATGGTTTCAGAAATAGCCGATGATTCTATTCATCTATTTATTTATTGATCACACTGGTAAGTTTCTTAAATTTTGTTCTTTATTTGTTTTAGGGCAAAAAAAAAAAAAATCTTACCTTTTTCCTTTGTTGTTTTAATGGTTATGGTGTTCAGACCTCTCTAGCAAACAACTATTTTTGTGGGGTCAAAAATAGTCTAGTGAGGGAGTGTGTGTAACAACAACCACATCAATGCTATATCTCACTCCCACCCGTTAGAGACGTTCCCAGACCGCAGATATTGCCAATTAAATTCCGTTACTCCAGTTCACCCTACAACAATTTTATTAAGTAAAACCATTTTGTTAGTGCACAACATCCAAAATCCTTAACACCATCTGATTTTTATGTTATACTTAAAATTAAATCTTTGATCAATAGGTTTAATTTTTTATTGGATATTTAATATTACTGTATAAGTTTGTAGTTTCATTGTGTCATTTTTTGTTTGAGGTGTGTGCGACATCCAAATACTTTCTATCGTATGTGTGTTTATTTTTAGATGATAGTTTTTATTGAGTCCTTGCATTTTTTGGGTACTTATTTCTATGCGTAAGCACATGTCAATGCTTTGTTAGTAGTTGATATTTATGTCATTTTTTAATTTAGTAATTTTTATAGATGTAAATTGTAATGAATGAATAATTTGTATTAAAAATAGGGATTTATTTGAGTTTGATATAATAAAATTATTTAGACATGTTAAACATGTCGTTTTCATCATGTTGATGGTGTTATAGGAGTCGTCACAACCCAATCATGAACCATGTACCAAACATATTGATCAAGTTGATAGCGAGTCATGTCAACATTGATACAATTTATTTAGTAAATGTGTTACCCGAATCATGCTCTAACTATTGGTGTTTTAAACGAATTGTATTTGTATTAAGTCATTTTGACATGATTAAGTAAATAGTTCATGTTAGGGTTGAGATATTTTTGACATGAAACTAAAATAACACAATTTGATTTGATTGCCATCCTTACTTTAGGCATTGTGGGTGTTTAATTTTTTGAAATGAATTTTCAGTTTTCTTAATAATTTTTTTATGTAGTGCCTTTATACACGGATAATTTCTAGTATTCAATATTTTAGAAACAAAAATGATGCAATTAAAATTTTGGGGACTAAAATAAGACAAACCTCAAGGCCTGTTTGGTTTGAATTTTGAAAACAGTTTTTTAATTTCAAATTTCTAAAAAATAAGAGAAACTTTTTTTGTTTGAGTTTTTGTTCTCCAATTTTTGGGAAAAGATGGATTTAAAAAACAAAAAATGGAAAACTTAGGACGTGTTTGGTTATATTTTGCAAAACAGTTTTTTGTTATTAAAATTTTAAAAATCTGTTTGCTTCGTATTTTTGTTCTCAAATTTTTTTTTAAAAAAAAAAGATTTGGAACAAAGAAATAGAAAATAAGCCACACTTGTTTTCAGATTTTACTTTGAAAACTATGAAAACACGGAGAACTGGGAGAACACCTCTTTAATAAGGTCTGTCATTCGATTCTCCTTAGCAGCAGGCTTCCTTACTTTTTTTTTCCTTCCTCTTTGTCTCTCTACACTTTGCCCATCAAACAGAACAAAAACAAGGCCGTTTCTCCGGCTCTCTCTCCAGAACGAAGATACATACAAGGTCGTCTTCTCTCTCTCCACTTTGTCTCTCAGATAGAACGAGCAGAGGGGAAGCTTCAGATCTCTTCGGCGAAACTTTAGATCTCTTCACATTGTGAGTTTCGATGTGTTTTGTGAGTTTTGATGGTGGTTGTGGATTTTGGGTGGTTGTTGGTTTTCAGTGGCACTTTGTGGGTTGTGGTAGTGGTTGTAAATTTTGTGTGGTTCCGAGTTTTGGTAGTGCTTGCTTTGTGGGTTTCGATTCTTACCGGTGTTTTGTGGGTTTTGATACACAATGAAAGAGAGAGAGAGATAGAGTTGAAGTGAGAGTGAAAATTATGGATTATTGTCCTTTAAAATTATTTTTAAAAATATATAATCAAATAAGTTTTATAATTTAAAATTTTTAAATATTATTTTTTGATAAGCAAATCAAACGGACCTTTTTTTCAATGTTCGGAGACAAAATAAGGAAAATCCGAAGAACAACCAAATTCTTCGTTACCGAGAGAAATGAGAATTTTTAGTGTAATTAACCTAATAAAATAATTAAATAGCGTAAGAAAAAAGATTTATGGTTGGAATTCCACACCATACTATCTATATTTTCTCAGTTTAGTCAGACTTCAGAGGCCACAGAGAGAAATGGCGGCCATAGCTCGATTCCAACTCCTCCAGCCATCTTCGGTTGTGAAACCATCAGTGATTTTATCAAAGCTCTCTCACTCTACCCCTATCAAAGCTCTCTCACTCTACGGCACTCGTATTCGTAAACTCTCCGTCCGCCGTTTCTGCTGCGCTTCAGACCAAACCCCCGAGGTCATGTTCTTCTTGTTCTCTACTTTCTCTCTCTAGATTTAGTTGTATATGTTAGGAATTATATCTCAAATCTTTTGAGTTCTAATGCCAGATTTCTTCGAATTCTGGTTCGTGTTCGTCTATAGTTGCTGATCTTCTGGATTATCTCAATGAGTCCTGGACTCAATTTCATGCTACAGGTATTGTACACGCACCCATTCACACACAATCATGCGCATATACACGTATGTGTAACAAATATACGAACGTGAATCTTCGAATGCTCGCATTTGTTTGTATGTTGAGTTGAGCAAAAGAAATCTTAAGTGAAGAGTAATGTGTCAAAGCTTATGATTTAAATAGTTATGTGGTGTGGTTAGTCTAAGTTCCTTGTAAAAGTTTGGGTAGTTCATAACTATGCTTTGTTCAAGATACTCTTCAATTTACCTCTTTTTTTCTCATCTATTATTGTCCCATTTTATGGCTTGCATGTAAGCTTAAATTCTTTGCTTATGTTGGTTATTGTTTTAAACCCCAGTGAATGTAAACTAATCTTCATTTTTATTTTTGATTTTGGGAATATTAATGCATTGTTTTGTAGTTCTACACTTCTACTGGACTTTACTTCAGCCCCAATCTACCGGATTGAACCATGGCATTAGTGTTTGTTATGAATCTTCAGCATGTGTATGGGGTGGCAAGAATTGGTTAAGTACAAGTCCAACCCTAGCCTAACTTTAAAGATTCAAAAGGTTGCTCCAACCTAATCCATGAGTGTAAACCCAAGTTGGTTTTAGATTGGCTTGTGCGGTTTGATCTGGCTAGTCATTTAGCTCATACTAATTAAAAATATGCAGGCTTTTGCTTTTTACACTAACAAATCTCGATTTATGATTATCAAATTCACCTAAGCATTATGTCTACAATAAGTGACAAACTTTGAGGAAAATTCTGGGAACTCTTAGGGTCAAAAATTCCCCTGTTATTCTAAGTGTCCACATTATTTCAACCCTCGTGTTTTTGTTTCTTATATTTTTTATGTGACTAATTCTGAATTTTCTAAAATTAATCGGATGTAGTGATTTTGCTAGTTCTGTATGATATATTAAGCCTAGAATTTGAGCTTGAAGGGTGTTGTGTCCCTCAATGGTTCGTAACAACCTCTTCAAGCTTATGGTCATATATGCTATATTGAAGACCACAGAGGTTGATGAATTTTTAAAATATGGGGTCTCATTGTCTAATGAACTGTGGTTTGTGCATGCTTCTGGACTTAATGGTAGGATTTCTAGATGGCTTGTAGAAAGATTCTAAATTTCAATTGGTTGTAGATCGTACAGAAAAAGGAATTCAAGTTTATTTGAAATCTAAATCACATGTTGGAGATGGTAAGGATATTGTTAGATGTAAGAAAAGCAAATGATTTTCAAAGGTGCCCACATGTAAATGAGTAGTAATCAATCAGGCATAAATTAGGCACATAAGTGGCATATACTTGCTAATTGAGGTCATGTAAGATTAGTGCAATCAAAATTGATGAAAATGGATGATAATACTATATGCCTACAAACAATGCCAAAACAGGAGCTTAATTATATGTGACTAGAGGAACTGACAAAAAACATTTGTGAAACTTGAGTGCTGGACCTTTTTATTGTTAAAAATCGATCATGAGAAATCAGTGACAATTACTCATTAACCAAAATGACGTGTAAAAAATAATACATATGATTTCTTCATGTTGTGTTGGGAAGATAGCCAGATACAAACGTAATCTTTTGCATTATTTGGTTGTAGTGGCTATCTTTAGGCTTGAACTTGAAATTACATTTGATCGAAAGAGATGATGCACCATGGCACCATAGCGAGATTGATGCTGTTGGTGCCATGAGTGCATGAGAACTTGAGTATGGGGTCAAAGCTGTACATCGTATGAAGAAATGGTGACAATGGAGTATCTGAAATCCATTTTCTGAGATAAACAAAACTGGCATTTAATAGTTTTGATTGGGAAAATAGCAACACCAATGGGGATTACAGAGATTTTATGAGGGACAAAGTCCAATCTAAGCAAAGCATGACTGCATCTAGAGAATTGAAACATCTTGGTTCTTTTAAGCAAATTGTCAAGTGAATTGTGAAACCTTGAGTTTCAAGGCACAATAAAAACATCAAGCTTTATGGAATGCCATTGTTTTGTGATGTATTCCTTAGAAATGCAGTGTGCTCACATTCTGGGCACATTTCAACATTAAATGAAGGATTATTAAGTATTCAAGCTGGGTTTTAGCACGTGAACACATGTAGTGTTGGGTAAAACACTACATGTGTGAGTGGTGAGGAGAATATACTCTTTTAATTGAGAAAATGATGAGAAACTTTTGGTGAGGGGAAGAAAGACCACCTTGTAAGGTGGGAGATGGTGTCTACTGGTAAGTGTAAGGGGTCTGGAGTGTTGGAAATTTGGTAGAAAGAAATATTGCTAAACGATTGTGGAGGTTTTCAACAGAATTCTATGTGGCATATTGTTATAAAAAACAAATATGAAATTCATCCCCCGGATGAGATTCGAATGTGGTGGTTAGGATTCTCCTGTGTGTCTTTGGAAATCTATTTCATAAGGTCTAGTATGGTTTTAGGGAGCATATTAGGGTGAGTGTGGGGAATGACGAGATACTTCTTTTTTAGAAAGGTACATGGGCAGGTGATTCTTATTTTGAGTCGCTGTTTCCTCGTCTCTTTAAGTTGTATCGGTCTAGTGAGGCTTCCATTACAAGTATGTATATTGTGTCATGTTCTCAAGAGGGGTGGATTTGAACGGGGAAGTGGTGGAGCTCTCCTCTATTTTCTTTAGTCCAATTGTTGTTGTTGACTCTAGGGGTGAGAGATAAAAGATTATGGATCCTCGATTCTTCCACTGTTTTGACCTGTAAATTGTGCTTTGATAACTTGATTAATGACACATCTCCCTTAATTTTTGGGACCTATAAGATGATTTGGAAGACTAGAGTGTCTGGTAAGGTGCATGTTTATGTTTGGACTGTAGCCCATGGGAGAATCAATATTTGTAATGAGTTACAAAGGAGAACACTGACGACTTGTCTTTCTCCCTAGTGATGTGTAATGTGCAGAAATTGCAATGAATTTGTAGTTCATCTATTTCTTCACTGCTTGTGGCCTTGAAATTGTGGTATAAAGCTCTTGGTGAGTTTGGTTTCCCATGCGATTGTGTCTCTTTATTTGAAATGAATCATGATGTGCTTGGGAATGGGGCAAAACATTTATATTGTGGAAACGTGTGGTTATGACAATTCTTTGGGGGACATGGTTGGGAAGGAATAACATAATTTTGAAGACAAAGAAGAATATGTGGAATTCCCTTGGGACATAATTAAGTTTTTGTCTACCTTTTACAATTGACTTCAAAAGAGTTTAAGGTTGCGCCTTTTCTTTCTCCTTAATCTTGATTGGAAGGGGCATGTAATTAGATGAATAGAATAATAGCTCTTGGTTGATGTAAAATGTATCGATGCTTCTTTTTAGTTTTGTTATTCCTTCCTTTTTATTGTATTAGATCCATCATTGGGATTTCTTGTCCACTACATTGTACCTTTTACTTTAGTATGAAAAGTTTTATGCCTTCTATGAAAAAAAAAGAGTCCACTATACTAGCAACTAATAGATAAAAGAGCACACACTGTTTTGTGAGAAAATTTCCAAATTGTTAAGACTATGGGCCTTTGGTGTAAAAAACATAAAGGTTGAGACATATTTGCTGCACAATAGAAGCTTAAGAAAAAACAATCTTGGTCCCATACTAGCTCGGGAATGAAGTTGATTTAGTTGTAGAAAGAGCAAATTGAATAAAGCAAGACGAATCACAAATTGAATTTAATTATTTGGCAGAAAATTAAAGTTTAGAATTTAACCTAATCAACCCATAATGAAGTTTGGTAGGAGGGATATATGCAACGTCATTTGTCTTAAACAAAGCCTAATCAGGTTTCAGTGGATTCCAAAATCAATTATTGCCCAGGTTTTTGAAACTCAGATTAGAATCTTCCACTAATAGCTGATATGAAAGAAACTCGTGTAACAATAGTTTCTTGCAAAACACTCATCAATGATACAACAAACATATGGAGGTTATGTAGTGCAATGTCAGTTTGATAATATTTAATTTCCTTAAAGAAATTTGTATGTAAGGGATGTTTGCACTGTTTTAATATGATCCATCTTGCTTCCCAATTCAAAATATTAGGATTTACAATTCTGCAATAACAATGTTATTCATGTTGCTCATGCATGTTTTATAAGATTATCTGCAGGTCCCCACAAATATTACAGAAAAACCTGGAAAATATGTTTTTAAATTGATGTTCTGGCCATAGGATATTTTGTTCTCATTACTATCTATCCTCTTTAATAGCTGAAGCAAAACGACAATTAATTGCTGCTGGATTTCATTTGCTAAATGAGAGTGACGAATGGGACCTGAAACCTGGTGGACGCTACTTCTTTACGCGGAACATGTCCTGTTTGGTTGCTTTTGCCATTGGGGAAAAGTGAGTATCCACATTCTATCTGGTCAAACCTTGCATTTTAAGTATTCAAAAAGAAATCATGCAATCCACTTCATTAATAATGAGCTTATAGATTATGAGACTAGATAGAATGAAGATTGGCTGGGGGACTGAACTTCCAGGTGGTCACACTGGCACTGATTATCACGATGCTAGATGTATGGCCATTTGTGTTATGCATTTATATTGTCCTCATATTGTGAAATGATATCAATATTTTCTGTTGTTCTTTTTTTGTTCCGGATTCATTTACTTCCATCTTTGTTTTTTTTCCTGGCTGTTCATGGGAATAAGTGCTGCTCTCGTATCAATTTTCTTCCTAGTATATTAATAACCAGCGTTAAACTTTGAAACTAAGATGTTAACTTCATCATCCTCTCTGCTTTTCTGACAATCTTGTTTAGTAAAATCTTACATTAGTTTTGCAGGTATTCAACTGGTAGCGGTTTTCATGTAATTGCTGCGCACACAGATAGTCCGTGTCTGAAACTAAAGCCAAAGTCTGCCTCATCAAAATCTGCCTATCTTATGGTCAACGTGCAAACTTATGGTGGTGGTTTATGGCACACTTGGTTTGATAGGGATTTAAGTGTTGCTGGAAGGGTCATAGTGAGAGGAGATGATGGTTCCTTATTGCATAAGCTTGTCAAAATAAAGAGGCCTCTGTTACGAGTTCCTACACTGGCAATTCATCTTGACCGGTTCGTTTCCCTTTATTGAAGATTCATTGTTTATCAATCATATTTTTATTTATCATTTGGTTGTGAGATTACATCTGCCTAAATTCCCATAGTTCTGTGCGGTTCAAGGATGTGGTTGGATTGATATATCTGACTACTGGAGAGGCTATGCACTCCTAGTGCTGACCATGGTTATCAGAATTCTGATAGGGATCCTAAGATCTTCCAATCCAATATAAGTAAATTGATCCGAGTCTCTTATAAAATCTCAAATCCGTAGGATCTTAATGGATTGTGATCCAGATCTTAAAATCGCAATCCAAACTACGATTTTACCGATTCAAGTTCTTGAGTACGTTTGTTAGGCGCATTTAGTTATTGAGCAATCCAATCCATATTTTTCATTTTCATAGTCAAGGACTCAATCCAAAAGTTAATGTCTTATACAATTGTGAGTTTATGAGGGAATTTCAGTAGATGAGAAAAGCTACAAAAAGTTTATTTCGTTCACAAATAAGTCTCTTTATTTGTTCTTTTTTCTTGTTGAAAGCAATGGTTAAATTTGATCTTCTCTCGGCACGAGTGATCATAGCTAGATAGTCTTTCATTTTTATTGTTTTCTACTTTTTTTGTTTGGATGTTGAATATTCAATGTTATTATCCAACAATCTTTCAACTTTCTAGTCTCTACTCTTTGTCTCTTTATTAGAAAGTTAGGATCAAAATACTTTTAAATTCTTCTATTTCTCTTTTTAAAATCCCTTTTTAAACTCTCTTTAATACTCAAATTGTAGTTTTATCAAGTTTAATAATATCTTAAGTTGTATGTTTGTCATAATATTTCTATTTGTATAGATACTAGGCTCGTTTAATTCTTATTTTTGGGAATTTTGTATTGTTGTATGTGTGTTTTGTCTCATTTTCTCAGTTGATAGGATCTTAAGATTCTCGATTCGACCCTGCGATCCAAATCCTGTAACCATCCGGATTTTAAAAACCTTGATGCTGACAGGAGTGGTATTTGAGTTTGTGGGTTGATTGGGATTTACCCCCTCTTTGTTAGATCAATGCATTTAAAACTTAGTCATATCTTTTTCTGTTTTTCTGGTGTATTTGAGGAGCTTTTTCTAGTAGCCTTTGAGGAGAATGCCTATAACACAAATCAACCTGACTGCCTGATCCAAATAAGCTGGTTAGACTTAGAGACAAACATAGTGAACTACTATGGGGG